AAAAAAAAAAAAAAAAAAAAAAAACTGAAACCCTCTCCCAGCTACAGACCGCCATGTTACCACACTTTCCTTCCCCTTCTCCTGTTGACTCAAGCAGCATCACCAGCAACCCTGACAGCTTCTCCTGGGCTCTCAGTATCCCTCAAAACCCAGCCACCCTCTGGTGGTGGCCACCGTTTGGTGACTCACCCTGGTGATGTCATGCTGTTTGTGACTGAGCCACTGCTCCAAGTCTAATTTGGGCCAGTCTTTGTGAGAGCAGGTGCTGAAGCTGGGCTGTGGATGGAGAAAAGTGGCCTGGTTAGGGTTTCATTTGGAATCTAACACTGTCATAGAACCCCAAGTTCAGGCTGGTGTACCTGATGTACAGGTAAGGCCAAACAGTAGGACACCAGTGCTTAGAGGTAGAGAAAGGTTTATTTGATTTGGCCAAAGTGAGAAGGCAGCGGAACAAATCTCTCAAATCCCCCTTAACAGAAAGAAGCAGCAGGGTGGATACATCTGTAATCCTAGCACTTTTGGAGGCTGAGGCATGTGGATCACTTGAGCTCAGGAGTTCAAGATCAGCCTGGGCAACATGGTGAAACCCTGTCTCTACAAAAAAAATAAATAACTAGGCATGGCGGCATGTGCCCGCAGTTGCAGCTACTTGGGGCACTGAGGCAGAAGGATCGCTTGAGCCCAGGAGGTCAAGCCTGCAGTGAGCTGTGTTCACATCACTGCACTCCGGCCTGGGTTACAGAGTAAGAGCCTGTCTCAAAAAGCAGCAGGGAGTTTTATGCAACTAAGGAGTGAGGGAGGGGGCCTTTCAGGGAACCCAGACTGTGTTTCCTCGGTCTCAGATAACCCCTTGAGCCACCAGACTTCTGGGCATCAGCAGCTGGTCACAACGTCCTTCAAGGCATTCATTCCTTCTGCAACTTTTTTTCCATGACCCCGAAGTTATCTCTTCCTGCTTGCAGAGAAACAGCACGTCAGCAGTTTATATTGTGGGAACAACGAATACTGGGCAAAAAGTGAGTGGTTAGCATGTGCAAGCAAGCATGGGCCTGATCAGAATTTTTTTTTCTTTTTGACAAGGTCTCATTCTGACCCAGGCTGGAGTGCGGTGGCATGACCAGGGCTCACTGCAACCTCAACCTCCTGGGCTCAAGTGATCTTCCTACCTCGGCCTCCTGAGTAGCTGGGACCACAGGCGTGTACCACCACACCTAATTTTTGCAGTTTTTGTAGTGATGAGATCCCACTATGTTGCCAGGCTGGTCTTGAACTCCTGGGCTCAAGTGGTCATCCTGCCTTGGCCTTGCAAAGTACTGGGATTATAGGCTTGAGCCACCACGCCTGGTCTGTGATCAGAATTTTCTTTTCTTTCTTTTTTTTTTTTTTTTTTTTTTTTTTTTTTTTTGAGTCAGAGTTTTGCTCTTGTTGCCCAGGCTGGAGTGCAGTGGTGCAATCTCAGCTCATGGCAACCTCCACTTCCTGGTTCAAGTGATTCTCCTGCCTCAGCCTCTCGAGTAGCTGGGATTACAGGCATACACCACCATGCCTGGCTAATTTTATATTTTTAGTAGAGACGGGGTTTCACTAGGTTGGCCAGGCTGGTCTTGAACTCTTGACCTCGTGATTCACCCGCCTTGGCCTCCCAAAGTTCTGGGATTACAGGCATGATCCACCATGCCCAGTCAGAATTTTCATTTTTTAGTCACTAAAAATGTTGGTGTATAACTTACTGAGGTATAACTTACTGCTTACATATATCTAGCTTATATAATCATACTTAGTACTTATATCTAGCATACTTAGTTCCATATACTCTTTCTATATAATCATATAGTAGTCGGAGCTGTACTGACACGTTTAGTGCTGATTTATATAATCCTTCTATGTAACCATATAGTAGTTTGTAGTAGGAGGGATGCCTAGAGCAGTCACAGAACAGAAGCAGTACATAGAAAAACAGCCAGACCAGGACAAGAACCAAAGACCCAGGCAGTGGCGTCCCTGCCTGAAAGGGCATACGCTGTATGGCAGGCTTGGAGCAAGAACCTTGTAGTACCTTGCATCTAGTTCCTGTGGAAAGTAGGCCTCAGGCCTGAGATTCCACAAATAGTTAACTGAGGGAGAACCCCTCTGATGTGACTGGGTCACAGCGGCTGTAAACCTTGTCAGCCTTTTCTCGCTTCTGTGCTATCTCAGATCATCCTCCCATAAATATCTTAGACAAGAGCACAAGTCTGTCAGCTCCCACTGCATTGACTTACAGTATCTTTCTGTTAGAAATCCTTTGAAGTTTCCAGATAAGAAGTGTTGCACACGACACCTGTTGCATACAGCCCACCTCCTTGCCTCGGTGACCTAATAGGGATGGACCCCTTTTCTGTACACGACCCTCTACTATGCATGGCCCACCTCTTTCCCCCAGTGACATAATGGGGTGATTGTTACTCGCTTGTTACTCACGTGATTGTGTATGCCCTATCACTAAGTCTATAGATGATGACCTCACTTACGACCCTTCCCCCTGCTTGTACCTAATAAATACAGACACTTCTGGACGTGTGGGCGGGCCAGTCTCTGCTCATAGGTGGCATGGCCCCCCCAAGTCCAGCTGCTCTTCTTCAGTTTGTCAGTGTCCTGTCTCTTTACTTCTCAGATCCTGCTTCTCAGCACAGTATAAGGGATACCCCATGACCCTTTGGGACCAACAGCCCCTTAGGAGCCTTGCCCTCTGTCTGCTCTAAGGACTGGTCCCAGAATGAGAAAATTTTAGACAGTCCCCCAAAACATGTTCATAATGTCACCCCAGAAAACCTGTGAATATGTTATATTACATGACAAGGGAGAATTAAGGTTGCATGTGGCAGTAAGGTTGCTAATGAGCTGACCTTGGGATAAGGAGATGATCCTAGATTATCCGGTGGACCCAATGTAATCAGAAGGGTCCTTAAATGTGAAGAGTGAGGTGGTGTGTGAAAGACTTGACCAACTATCGCTGGCTTTGA